TTATGCTAACTGTGGTCATCCTCCACATGCTGAAAGCTGTACCCGTAGTTTCTGTATAAATTGCCATGATCAACACTCAGCGTTAGATAAAAAATGCCCAAGTTTTGTACAGATACGTGAAATATTGAAAATCAAAACAGAAAATTATTGTAGCATGAGCGAAGCGCGACGCAAATACCGGGAAAGAAACTCATCTGTAGCCCAAGGAATTGGCAAAAGTAATACCTACGCTGCTGTTGCCTCGCAAAACAAGCTTAATAAGCCTCCAACTCCTTCCAATGAAAAACCTGTTCCACCATTAACCAAATATTATATTGCGAAACCAGTTCCATCATCCGCCAAAGACAATATTGAAAAAACCAAAGCAACACCAAATATTAAAAAATTAAAACAACAACACATATGCTAAAATCTAATATACCAAATTCTCCAGAATCTCCAGCTCTCAACTTTACTCAACAAATCACAATTGGTAATGAATCCATTCTTTCATCCATTAATCAACATTCAATTTCAAATTATTCACGTGCGCCAACTCGTTGCGCTTCAAAGGTACCAAATCACCTAAGTACAGATTATTCTGCTGGTAAGAATAAATCATTCACGAAAAATTCCTATAGCGACCTTCTCGACGGAGACGCTGACATGTCAACTTAACCCTCCCTCCACTCTGCTTCCATGTCATTACAATTAAATACAGTTTTTAAAATTCTACTCTGCATTTTAAATTATGGAAAACCAACGCACTTTTCAACTCCTCACACTTTTTCACATATTGATTTAACATGTTGCTCTCCCTCACTTCTTCCTTTGGTTTCGTGGTCTATTTTTGATGATGAAATTCCTCCTAGATAAAGCGGATTGGATCAAATACTACAAACAAATGAAGTCATTTTTGAATTCAAAGCCATTTAACGGAAACTGCAACCATGATGCTGCTATTATGTCTAAAGCGATTCGCACGGCTGCTCATCTTCCTATTCCTCAATCCAACAGCTCTTTTAAACGAACTAGGGTTCCTTGGTAGAACAACACGCTTTCGTTTTTGAGAAAAAATAAAATGGATCTATGGCACCGCTTTAAGAGATTCCCTGATCATGATCATTTGTTATTATACAAAAAGGCCAATGCCCTATTAAGGAAGGAATTAAGAAAATCAAAGGCACTTA